TCCGCAGAGGGCCACTAGAGGTGCTTCGTGGGTCAATGCTGCAGAGTGTGCAGCACTGACATTCAGCGTCTCCACCCTCTGCATTGAGATGCTGAACGTTTCCCATAGTGATGCATTGATTAAATGCATCTCTATAAAGAGCAGCATTTGGCTCCACCACTACCCCACCCCACCTCCTTTGCTGATATAATCAGAATTGACAATTTCAGTCAATCACATTTCTATGGAAAAGCATTGTGATTGGCTGAGATCATCAATTCTGATGATGTCAGCCAAGGGGCCAAAACCAGAGCTTGTGGACCTGCACAGCACTGTAAATAAGGTGAGTTTTCTAGTAATTTAAGTGGGTGAGGAGGAGGCTAAATAGTGATTTTCATACTACTGTCAGGAATACACGTTTGTGTTTCTGACCCTACAGTGTTTCTTTAGTGATCGTTTTGTTTTATTGTTTAATGATTTCTTCAGGTAACACAGATGCTTTAAAATCCCTGCAAGGAAACCATTTCATAATTTTCAAACTTGATTTTGGTTAAGGTTACATTGACAGAGTAATTTATGCAACTCTTTTTTCCTGGTTGATATCATAACTTTAATTAGCTTCTGAATGGTTGCAGAAAAGGCAGTTATCGAATATAAAGTATCCGAACTGATGTGGACTCTGGGATACCAAAGTAAACAGATGTATATTGTCAGAACTATAAATAAATCAGAATTAAAATGTTTATAATAAAAAAAAAAAATTTAAAAATGTGGCTAGCGCTCCTGAAGTAAAATATTGGTTTTAAATGCAAAAATAATAATTATTGTAAGTGCACAAGTAAATTCTAAGATTTAGGCCCAAATAGAATAGCTGGAGATATTTTTTAAAATTTTAATATTTCAGCCTACATTTTGCAACTTGGTTGTAACAATCAGAAAACTAACCACTTATCCGTGACTACTGAACAAACTCTTAAAACAAGATAACAAGATGGCATAATGTTAGTTAACGTATATATCTTTTCTATGAAAGTTGAGTTCATCTTGTAAAATCATCTCCGGTTTCTTTTTTTCTTTTCTTTTTTTAGATATGTGAGATAACTTTAACTTAACTTAAATATAAATGGAAAGTAAGTATATAATTTCACACAGCACATAAGATTTATTGGCATACTTTTATTTTCTCCAGACATGTAACATTGATTGTTTGAGAGAGACCCACTTTTAGAATCATTTGTGTTCTTGACTGTCAAATCCTTACAATTACTGTGTGTACTCTGATAGATATCTAGCACACAGAGCCGTTATGAATATTTTAACAGACTACCATCTCTCTGCCATTTCAAAACTTACAGCTGGGTTCTATATATAGCTGGGGCCTAGCAGTCAAAGTGATTTTTTTTTTTTTTACAATTCACAATTTTCTTCTTATTTGATAAAGTGCATGAGAATTGCATTATATTTATATTTCATTTACATGGATATATTTTTAAGTGTAAAATTTTTTTTTAAACTTTGTTTGACTTATTTACAATATTTTCCATAAAAGGATAAATTTAGACCAAAAAAAAAAATCAGTTGAAAGTTTGATTTTTTTTTTTTAGTCAAATCAAATATGAATTTATTAAAGTAAAATACAACTTTAACAATTCAGTTTTACACCACCTAAAAAAAGCTTTAGTTGCCGTTAATAATAAAACTAATGAACCTTGCCATTATGCATTGAGAGTAAAAGTCCAGTACATGTAAATGTCTTTACATAATACATAATCTATTTACAAGTTATCGTTGAAATGTATTTACTAGAGAGGACAACTCAAAGAAGTGTATTTCAATGTGAGGCAACTTTAATCTCTTATGTGGAATATAATTTTGTGTACACGGTGTATATTTTGTAATTTGTTTTGTTTTATTCTTGTCCTGTTTTGTTTCATTTTTTTCCCCTTACTTATGTTTGTATATTTTTCCTGTCAGCAAAGCAGGGCCAGTAGGTAAGATGAATGGACCTGAAATAACATTTATCAAGGGGGCAAAGATGTGAGAAGTGTGCCTGCAAGGGCCGATGTAACAGCAATGGCCAGGGCATAGTAAAGAAGATTAAATGGCAGGTGGAACGTGCACAGTTGAGGGGGGAGTAATAAGAAAAAAAGATTTAAAAAAAAAAATGCAGTCCTTTTAAAAACATACTTTTGCAGCTGGTGACATTATACCAATATAAGAAGAAAAAAAATACCAGTGCCATATAAATATGAATATATAATTTATGAGCAAAACACTTAAAAATGTCCAATATCACTATCCAGCGTAAACAATATATATAAGGAGTCACTGTAAAAATTACTGAAAGTCACCGGAAAAAATGGCAAATAAATAGAAAACGCTGATTTCTTAGGCTCAATCCCTTGTAATAATCTGCTCCCAATGAATGTATTCAGCTTTGTAAAATGAGTGCTCACTTTGTATCCATTCAAATATGAAACGTATCATAACCTTGAATAAAACAGATACTGTTCATAGTGTAGTAGTTTAACTTTATCGGACTTATATACAGAATAATTAAAACCCTTACACAATAAAAATGTGAAGCTTATTGCTGAGCTCACAGAAACGATGATATGGGCCAAATGTCTTTCCCGCAATCCTTCTCACAATACGGTGAACAATCTGTATATGTTTCACCTGCTATCCGTACTTTAATTTGTTGTTTTTTCTTTCATGAGAACTATTGTTGCACTTTCTGATTAGTCCAGTTATGTAAATATAACCTATGTGTTTAAATGATGCTTTTTATTTTTATTTTTTTTTAAACATCCTGTAAAACTATTTAATATTTTTTCTGTTATAACAATAAGGATTATTCACCAAAGTGAGAATACAATTCAAAGTGAATTTCAAATTCAAGGTCGAATTAGCTAAAATTAAAAATTCATTTAAAAGACACCTACGCTGCCAGTTCAGCTACTTTGGCCTTAAATTTGAAATCCGCTCTTTATTGAATAACCCTGAATGAGAGTACACAAATTAGATGCTATTTTTGCATGCATCTTGATCTGCCGGATGTTAAGATTGTATCTTTTTCACTATCTCTTTCACAAGTGATTTTCATCACAATCATATTTTCCAATGTGCCGCATAATATTATTCATGTAAATAAATCAATAAAAAATGAAATAAAATATATTTCTAAAAAAAAAAAAAAGAGTGTTGAACGATGAAACTACATATAGAAAAATATGTGACTTCAGAATTTTTACATCTAAATACTCTTGCAGATCAAGAAAACCCCCACAAAGAAGTAGAAATAAGCACAGCTTAGAAGACATTGGCTATATGTCCGTCAGCTAGAGATGCAAAGTATAATTATACATTTGTATTCAATTTAAACAAATGTGTCTATTCCATGTACATTTGCAGTATAATTTACCTTTAAGGGAAAAGTTTAAATAGAACACATCATATAAGCAATTAATTTTAAAGCCGCTATGTGTTAGATATTTTCCCGTAACTTCCACTTCCCTTAAAGGGGGCATCTGATGCAGAAGCTAGTGATAAACATATAAATCCTCTGTGCCTGGAGTTTAAAGGAACACGCAAGGGTAGAATTATCATACATTTTATTTTAAATGTTACGTTATTAAATAAAATTAGCATTTTTTATTTTATGATCAAATCCTTGGATCTTGATCATCATATAGGGACATCCACTGGGACAGTAACTGATCTTGCATTAATTTCTCAGGTTCGTTAAAACGAAAGATTAAATGAAGTCACACGTGCACTCAGTAAGGCCTCATAGAAAACAACAGAAAGGGGTTCAAAGATGAGCAATGCAGTCATAAGCAGCATTTCACTTCACGCACACACTGTTAAATCCTCACAGACGCCATTAGAAAGAGTGCACAGATATGTAATACAGCTACTGCGCAAGCAGTATTTTATTTTCTTGAAAAATAAATGAATGTGATTCGCTTGTGCAAGTGAATGGAAGCCAAAGCCAGCTTCAATTCAATTGTGCGAGCACTTTCCATTATTATTTATTTATTTTTTCCAAGTGACTGAGATATGCTTATGGCTACATTGCTTATACATGAATAGCCCCATTCTCTCCAATGAAAACATTCTGCAGGGTTTTATATCAGCTAACCTGATTCTAGTCATAGCCCCACAGTATGCTGCATTTTTGTCTTGTAAATCCAAGCCATATATTTGGCTCTGTGTAAAAATGTGTGCTTTTTGCCTGATATTACACCAAAACTATAACATCAAGTTCAGATCTATGGCCCTCTAAACATAGATTTATAAACTTGCTCAGTTTGAACCTGTGCAAAACTTGCTTAACGTGCAAAAAAAAAAAAAAAAGTGAAATTATTTAGTTTTAAAATCTCAATGTGAAAGGTTCAAAATGAAACGAGACTGGGCTTGAGACAAGAAATATGAATTGATAATGAGCAGAACGAAGTGCAGCCTATTGGTTGCTTTCCCACATGACCCTCCCGGATCTAATCTGCCAACTACAGGTTTAAATTAACTCTTCTCAGTTAAACCATTATCTGATCCAGAAAGCATGCATAGAGCTCTGCACTTGGCTTCTCTCTGTCCTATGTAGAAGGGAACTTTAGGGCCCCCTGGAGGTCCTCGGCATTATGACAGCAAGCGTCTCTTTCTGACGTCTCCTGAATTTCTAGGAATACCCCTTCCCTGTTACTATATTTGGAGGTAGTTTCTAGGAAAATAATTTCCAGAGGATTTGGACTTCAACACAGCTCCATATTCAGAACCTCTTAAAGGATTTTTTTTTCTCTCGCAACAGACACTGCAGCCTTCTTCAATGCTACTGGGCCAACATTCTTTTTTTTTTTTTGCAACATTGTTGTTAAGACAAGCAGAATAAATTTGCAGGGCAGTGGGAACAAGTAGTGCATTCACTCTTGATATGGTGCTTTAATATTTGAATATATATATTTTAACAACACTTTGTGGATCCTCCCCCCACCCTCCCAAGCCCATACAGTTTTTTTTTTTTTTTTTTACCCCTGATCTGGCCTCTTGTGGCGTGACCATGATGAAGAAATTTTTCAGAAGCCTGGCAATGTGATCTTCATGTAATGAGTCAGGATTCGCTAAAGGAAGGAGCAGGGACTCTGGATCAACCTTTTCCCAGCAAGGATCTATGACAAGCAGGATCTAGCTGCCTCTCCTCCTGCCTCTTCCAATCTGAAAGGCCGGTAAGTGACTGACATCCTTTTGTCCTTATTTCTATAAAGAATACAGGCTGCTGCTTTGATGATCAAGCCTGGCTATGTCGTGCAATGCATGGTGTGATTCCTTGATCTGCAGGTGTGGAGAGACTTTGGAGCAACAGGGGGGAGGCACAGACAAAAAGGGGGCACTGGAACAGCCCTACTGATAGCTCCAGTAATAAATGATCAGGTTTTTTTTTTTTTATGTGACCTTTTCTTGAATATGTAGATAAAAGCGATTTTGCGTTTCTGGATCCATTGGGAGAATACTGATTTATAATGTCATTATAGCCCAGAGAGCGGTATTGCTATTGGAAGCGTGCAGACAATGGTTTAAGTACCTAGGCGCTCAGGGGACTGTGCCATAGACACTGTCTGACATTCAGCTGCAGTCTGCTGTTGCACAGTGCTGCCTGTTAAAGCAAAATATCTCTCAGCTGATCAGTTGTGCTCCGTCTGCTAGTGCAGCATATTGTACCTGCACATTGTTATTCCGGAATGCGTGCTGCTCTGTGGCTGCCTTCTCACACTTTACACAATAAAGTGACATTCGCCAGTTTCTGCTCAGTTCATTCTGAAAAGTTCAGACAAATCGAACGCCGTCAAGTTGCATAATTGTCTACATTATATAACAAGTTATCAGAGCGATCATGGCTGAAGTGTTTGCCAACGTGTAAAAAAAAAAAATTTATATATATATATATATATATATATATATATATATATAAATGTTCTGTTAATTACTGTACTACATAAATAAGCAAAAAAAAAAAAAAGAATTATGCATATATATACATTTGCAGGTTTAAATTATATTAATGAAAAAAAAATCTGCCCAAAATCTACTTTACAGACACAATTACCAGTAGCAGAATAATCTGTTTCAGTTTGTAAGAGCTAGACATGTTTCACAATCGTTCCAGCATAGTGTGGGTTAAAGGGCCTGCATGTTATCAGCATTATTACATAATGCAATCATCTATGCACATTGACTTCTGATCATAGTTTATAAGTATTTTTTTTCTGTACAAGACCTTCCCATTTTTTTTAAACTTGCTTTTGTTTTAAAAGAAAAAAAAAGTGTTCAATTGTTTTATAGGCAAGCCATGTGAGTTTATTGTCACTAACACACCCTTTTTTGGATAACTTCGTCTTGTCCTGGCAAAGTAACGTAGAGATAGTCTCTACACTAAATGCTTCAGTAACAAGTCCTGTGGATATGCATATCTAATTGCATAAATTAATCAAATAAAAAAATATATACATTTATTTAGAGGTTTATTCACTAAATAATGAAATGCGATGAATTGAAAGTGAATTTCTTAAACCGAAGTCAAAGTAACAGAGTTTTTAAAATGATCTAGTTTCGCTGTTATTCATAGTTGACTTTTTAGTCTAAATTTGCCAGTTTTGTTTTCAATTCATTATGTTTCACTAAAAAAACACTTTTGTACACCCAGCTCGATTATTTTGACCAAAAGTTTGCAAATTTGGGTTTTAGGTAACCACTAATACGTCTTTAGTGAATGTTCTCATACAACTGTTGTACTCTTATAAACTAATTTGCCTTAAAGTTCTATGCAACACGTTAAAAAACAAATTACTGTAACAGTTTTAACAGAGGTCAGCAGTTTTATACATGAAATGCTTTCACTTTTTAACATCTATCTGTCTGTCTATCCTATCCTGTGTAGGCCATTTGCAAAGAGATTAATTCATGCAAGCTTTATAATGACCATTATTTTAGGAATAGAATATTTATTGTAACCTGTTGCATTTAAGTGAAAGTCTAAAAAAACAAAAAACAAAAAAAAAACAACAGTATTCTAAAGTATATACGTTTACCAGAGGTCAGTAAATGTTTTCTGCAAATACCTTAAAAAATAAGCCTATTCGTTCATAATCCTTTATAGTTGGTATGCTTATGTAATCCTTAATGATTATTTCTTATAATAAAAATATTTTTAAAAGCTCAGCATTTAGAGCACTGAGAACATAATCCAGTTTTTTTTTTACTGATATCATTTGATGCAGAATTCAGGCCTACCAATAAAGTCCCCTAGCTTTTACTTGGTATTAGATGTGAGATACCGACAATACATGGGTCAGGAAAATCGAACACAATAATAAGATGGCCGCAATCAGAGTCTTTTGCTCTAGGTATTGATTATTCTTATTAGTTTCTGATAGGTTTTGAATGTTCGAATAAGCTTTCAAAGGGTTAATTTTTTTAAATACAGTATGTAAACTGAAATGCAGGTCTTTATGGGTTACATGTTCATGCTGTTGACACCTAGGGCACAGTACTTAAAAACAAAAAAAAAATGCAATTTTCATAGATATTTTTATGAAGAAAAAAAGGAGAATATATATATGTATGTATGTGTATGTACGTATATGTATGCGTGTATATGTAAAATACATTAACAAATAGCATTGGCCTGTGGGAGAGTAAGGCATTACAAAAAAAGCAAGAGATCTGGCAGTAATGTCTTTTGTTACATAGGGAATTTAATTGTACATTGATTTACAGTGTACGTGAAGCATGATGTGAAATAATAGATATTGGAAAGTAACCATTTTATCTGTTGGACAGATTTTAAGAACCAGCACCTGATTTGTGTGCTTTCGGAGTCGGGATTTTGGGGGCGAGATGAGCTAATGTTTTATCCAACTGGCCCGCAAAGTCCCGCTTCTGGAAGTCACTTTGTTCAGCGAAAAATATTAGCATTTTATGATGAAACTATCAGTCTTCTTGCATGTTGCACCTTTCAACACACCTATCGATCAAATATGGGACATCTTTGTAAAACTTAAAAGCGGTAACCCCTTCATGTCAAGATTTTAGGAAAATCCCATTATAAAATGACTGGTATGGCAACAAGTGGTTAAAACACCTGCCATTGAAATCTGTTTTTCTGTAGACCCCTAAATGCAATCATAGTAATAATGTAAAAGTCTTTTGACAACCGCAGGTTGCGGTGATGTTAGAATTGATTCGCAAACTTAATTGCAAAATAGCAACCATGTATACGAGCTCCTTTTATCCGAATTAATCTTGAATTATGTTATTTGGTTCATGAATCTCTATAAGATGTCGCTTACTGAATCAACACCAAAATGAGTTAAAACGTTTTGCTGATTGAAGCAGTTGCTTTCATTTATACAAAATATTTGTTATTTTTCCCTACCTGATGTATTTTTCATGACAAAGTCACTATTTGAAATTGTATTCACTCTATGACAAGTTACCATTAAAACCAATCTACTAAAATATCCTTAATCTTTTTACCTTCACATATACACATGTCCAGAATTACGATTGAAAGAGACACTTGAGGCCTCTATAATCCTTTATTTTCCAATATTTGAAAAAATATATATAAATAAAATAAACAGAGGCATTATGTCAAACTTTGAAATAGCCTGTGATATATCTCTAAATAACTTGGAGATATAGTTTTTACAATGTTACGCAATTGTGCATTGTCTATTATCTGTTTTGTATAAGTAGAAAAAAAACCCTTGAAATAAAGCTAAAGTTGCTGAATATTTATTTTGACAACAGAAAGTTTGGAATCTAAAGTAATCAGATCAATTATCTATATTAGAATTTGATTCTTCTATTACCTCACTTAATTTCAATGTGCTTGCTGCACTTGGAATGATTTATATCACATGTTTGCATAAACTGTGCAATAAAATACACTATTATATCTTGAACATATGCTATCACTGTTTAGTCTATTGTTAAAGTTTCATTATAGCTTTAAGTTAATTAATTGCAATCTCATGTTAGAGCAAAGGGGTTAAAATTCTACGCAGGCTCGAAGTGGGTTAAAACGGGCTTGCAAAGCAAAGAATTTTAAAGTACGTTTTTGGATAGAAGAAAGACTTGCAAGGATCAGATTTCGTTGAGTTGTTATTTACTGTAACAGAGCTGCTCATGGGGTTTTTAATGCTTGTGTTTGTAAGTGAGAACACTAATTAATATTGCATCCTTTGCATGTGTATATGAACACAGTACAAAAAGTAGACAGAAGTAGACAGCACGTATAATCAGTAAATAAAGGATTTCTTAAGTGGGTTGGCAATTTCAATTCTCAGTGTTTTTAGAAACGGGAAAGAAAAAAAATATGGCAAATGATCATTTGGCTACTAAAATCTAAATTATACTCCTTCAACCCTTAACCATAATGTCTGACTTAGCATTTTATCCAAACTTTGTTTAGATGCCTTTACTGTATTTCTTGTATCTTCCATGTACTTACTATTCCTTTTAGAGGCCTACTTTGACACAAAACTTGTGACATTCATTAACTGTTAGTGCGTCATTATAATAAGTGCCATGTGTGCTTATATTTTAATAGCAATCTAAACTATATTTTGGAAATAATTCTGAATGCACTCAAATATCAGTGAGAGAAAAAACACCTCACATTATAACAAAGAGCCTTCAATATGGCTTCTGTACGTTTATTGCATATCTAATTTATAAATGAATAGTCTAAATTCATAAACTGTAATTGTTTTGGTTCATATATACTGAATTGTGTTTTCACTGAAATATCATGGGAAAAAAATATTTGTAACTCAGAATACTTTTTGTATTACAAGTGTGGAGCGCTTTCCTTTCCATATCTAGATGATATTTCATCACATCATAATGTTCACAGTTTTCATCAGTGCTTAATAATGATAAGTATATTGCTTAGTTTGTGTGTGAATTTTTCTGTGTGTGTGTGTTTGTCTGTCTGTGTCTGCCTGCCTATCTGTCTGTGTGTCTACCTGTCTGTGTGTGTCTGCCTGTCTGTGTGTGCCTGCCTGCCGGTCTGTGTGTGTGTCTGTCTGTCTGTGTCTATCTATCAATCATTTTTAAGATCTTAATTAAGCATATCTCATTATCCATTTGTAAAAGTGTCTCTAGCACTTTTGAATGCCTGCCTGTAGTTTGGCAGGTGTCACTGCATTTCATTTTCACTTTACGCAACCACAGATTTGGGTGCTAATTTTGAATTAAAAATAAAAGGAAGAAAGAATATAAAACACAAAACGGGCAACTCTGTAACTATGTAAAAAACATTAGGTTGAGGAGTGTTCTGAGTAATTTATTTTGCAATCAGCTGTGATTGATTCTTTCAGAATGAAAAGCAGTACAAATAAAGAATGGAGGGGTTAATTCATTTCCCCCATTGACAATAAAATATAAAGACAATTCTACAGACTTGAGGAAGACAGGAAACAATAATAATGGGCCGAAAAACTATAATAACTTAATGCTATAGAAAATAAGTAGTTTAGTTATAATTAAAAAAAAGTAACTATATAAAAAATGTATGCCGTACATTATATTTAAGGGTATCATGCTAGACGACATTGATGTCTCAATATGAGTTTATTTTGTTTAAATACATATTCAATATATGACATTTGTAAAGTGTAGTATAATTGTCTGCATTTGTTCTCTGCAACATATATATATCTATAAATACAAATGGTATTTTAATGTATATCCTTAGATTGAAATGTTATATAGCCAAAGATTTAAGAAGTCCGGTATACAAGTTTAGACTATTGAGAAAAAAAAAGAAACACAAATAATCCTAAAACGTATAGCAAAAGATCTTTTTTTTTTGTGAGTGCAGGGGTTAATATCCGTATTAATTCCGGATCATTTTTTATTTTTACTTTCGGCTCAGCTGCTGCACTTTTAAAAGTACAATGGAAACATACAGAATCCGACTAGAAGGCCCAGCGAAGAGATTACATGGTTTTCTTTGGCCTACAACAAGATGTGTGAGAATCATTTGCAAAGAGTTTCCAAAACGTGTAGATTCTGAGCATTGCCAACTTTATTGGACAAATAAATAGGCCCCGAGATTTTGCCATATCTTAATTTTAAACAAGCGATTATTAAATACTGATATAAAGCAAGCCTTTGTATTTATTTATAATGTGAATCACTGCAATGGAGATTGCAGTTTTCACTTGTCAATTTACAAGCACAAAAATTAAGATTAAGGGATTCGGGACGGAAAGTGGTATTAAAAACTGTTAATACTGAAAATTAATGGAGCTTTAAAAGCCAGTTAGTTCACACATGTTTTTTCCTTTATGCTTCCAGGCTTTTCGCCACAAATCGTACTCTTTAGCCTGTTTTTATTTAATTTTTAATTTTAAGGTCTCTAAATATTAACCCTTTTTGCTTGCAACATTTATGCTACATATTTGTCTGGTCTGGTAAAATTGAGGCAAACAACAAGAGGTATTTGTTAAATTTGTTGTATTCATGACACAAATCACAAAAGTATGTAGAAGAAAAGGTAAAAATATTTATGTTGTGAAAGATCTTGCAAGACACCTTCACTATGGTTTTTAGATAATAAAAAAATGAGCAAATAGCTAGTACAAAGGGAATAAAATTGATAATATTTGCAGTCAGTTTCCATGTTGCTAAGTGCAAACTATTCATCCTATATTTACGCATATAAAATTATTAATTCTTGTCCTATTTTTTACTTACCAGGCTTTTTATTTCTCGTGGTCCACGTTTAATTTAAAATGAATAAATCCAAATCATTATTTTGAAGAAAAAAATTATCACAAGTTATTTCTGATAGGCATATATTCAAAAGGTGTAGTTTTTTTTACCTTGCAATTTAACACTTTGTCATGAAATACATATAATATGGTAAGCTGGTTTCCACATGTGTTTATTGCAGAGCTTAAAGGACCACTATAGTGCCAGGAAAACATACTCGTTTTCCTGGCACTATAGTGCCCTGAGGGTGCCCCCACCCTCAGGGTCCCCCTCCCGCCTGGCTCTGGGGGGGAAAGGGGTAAAAACTTACCTTTTTCCAGCGCTGGGCGGAGAGCTCTCCTCCGATCCTCCTCTCCTCCTCCGTTACGCCCCGCCGGCTGAATGCGCACGCGCGGCAAGAGCTGCGCGCGCATTCAGCCCGTCGCATAGGAAAGCATTTACAATGCTTTCCTATGGACGCTTGCGTGCTCTCACTGTGAAATCACAGTGAGAAGCACGCAAGCGCCTCTAGTGGCTGTCAATGAGACAGCCACTAGAGGAAATAGGGGAAGGCTTAACCCATTCACAAACATAGCAGTTTCTCTGAAACTGCTATGTTTATGAAAAAATGGGTTAACCCTAGAAGGACCTGGCACCCAGACCACTTCATTAAGCTGAAGTGGTCTGGGTGCCTAGAGTGGTCCTTTAACTTGAGGGCCCACACAATCTCCATCCTGCTTGAGTCCTGTTTCTGGAACCTTCCCCCTAGATCTGCCTCTTCCTGTGTTGTCCTCAGGCTCTCAACACATTCTAACCTTTTTTTAACAAAACGTATAAATAGAAGAACAAATAATTACGGGTCAATGCACATTACCATCTTGGACATTGGGGTGGACTACCGTAGTCCACAGTGACTGTGGGATTATTCTGTCCATTCATCAAGTCACTGTTTTAACTACATTGATAATCTCAGTATCGTGCTGGAAACTTCACAACTCTACCACTAGAAGTTATTTTGTTAAATCCTTGTGAGAGTAAATGTGATCTTAATGGAAGCAGCAATATATCCACACTACAATCTTGTTGTGAGGGAGGTTCACCTCTTAAAGTCTACTGACCGTGGTCCTAAATTCTCAGACACATGGGGGAGGGAGGAGAGGAAATGAGACACATGGGGGGCTGTGGGAATGAGACACATGGGGGCTGGGAGAATGAGACACAAGGGGGGAGGCAGGGAAAATGAGACACATGGTGGGACTGGGAACTGAAAATGAGCACATGAAGGGGTGTGGGGGAATGGAACACATGGAGGAGCTGGTAGAGGAATTGAGACACATGGGCGGCTGCGGGAATGAGACACGTGGGGAGATGAGATGCATGGAGGGGCAGTGGACACACAAAGTGACATAGAGGGGCTGGGGAAGAAAGAGACAAGGTGCTGGGGGGAAGAGACACACAAATTGAGCGATAGAGAGAAAGAAACACACAGGAGCTGGGGGGTGGTAAAGAGCCACAGAGGGGATGGGGAAGGGGCAAAATAGACAAACAGGAGTTTGGGGGGAGACACCCAGAGGGGCTGGAGAACACAAAGAGACACAGTAGGGTTGGGGAAGGGGCAAAAGAGACAGAAAAAGGCTTTAACTAAACCCATTAGATTTTAGCCGTGTTGACTAAAACAAAAATAATTGAGTTGACTAAAGTACGACTAAAACAGCATTTTAGTCAAAAGACTATACCTAAAACAAAATTAAAATTTACTGCCAAAATAAACACTGCTCTCTACTGAAGGATCTGTACTCTATGGAAGCAAACTGCATCCCATTGTCTTTTACCAACTCCAATGGTATATCTCACCTGGCAAACATGCTTTAAAGGCAGATTATGACAGCATTACTGGTTGCCTCATCAAATGGTGCAATCTCGAGATACATGGAGTAGTAGTCTACAACAACCAAGTAGTTATTTTGGTTGTTTTTACAGAAATCTGCAGCTATCTTCTGCCATGGGCCTGAAGGCACCGGAGTAGATATTAGAGGCTCTCTCCTCTGTGTAGGTGATATTTGGAGAAATACGCACATCTTCATATGTATTCTGCAATGTAAATGCTGCTTCCAGGCCACCACACCGCCATGCTCTTTCTCTACACTTAGAATTTCCCAAATGGCCATATGAATTCTACTTAACATTTCTTGCCGCATACTGGCAGATATGACATTACGGTCTTTGAAACAGAACCAAATCATCCAGTTCTGTGAGGTGCGCTCTCTCTGACTGAAAAGCACTCAGCAACATCCTCGCTGCTCGGCTTTCAGGCCATTTCTTCTTCATGTAGCTAATAACTTCTTGGATATCAGTATCCAGACATGTCTCTCTCTTAATCTGTGCCAAGTTTAAGGTTGCCAACCTTAACTGAACAGGAAATTTCTCTAATTGAGCTATGCCTCCAGTTCGTCTACTCTGGTCTAAATTCACTTTAAATTCTCACTTTGGTGTCCCATAATGTACCCATTTACAGTTACACTTCCCTCTCCCCCACAACAAAGTGTTGCACCCACATGCACAGTACCTGAGGTGTAAGTAAAATTCCAGAAATTATTTTTTAAGTGTCTATGTTAATGTTAATGTTCTTAAATGTAGTTTTAGCAAAGAAAATGATATATGTATCCGTGCATATTCAGACATAGGTGTGTGCACATTCATATAGTCTGTGAGGCCTGCAAAGGAGGAGGTCTCTTCTTGTGAATTTCTAAGAAATTGGTGATGCTGTTACATAGGAATTTTTTTTTGCTCCAGTCTCTCTTCACTTAGGTATGAGCTGCTTGCCAACTTGCTAATAAAGGGAAACAGACTGAATAGCTATGTAACAGAAAAACATGTATTTTTAGACTGTCTTGCCAAGAAAGATTCCATTAAACAAACTTTTTTTTTTTTTTTAAACGAACAAGCCAGAAACCTAAAACAGCTATATATTTTATAGACTAGAGAAGATTGCTATAATATTAGAAAATGCTAGATATGTATTGCAAATAGAATTAGAGAAAAATCCCATTATTTATTCAGACGGAATTAAGATTAGTGTTGGTCCCAAAGGTTGATTGGTTGGTTGTTTTAAGTTTTTGGATTGAGCAAGTATTTAATTCTTCAATATATAATTTAAGCAAGACTTAATTTTGCATATACGTTTAAGTCCATAATAGTCTCTTCCTTTGTTATACAATTTACCCAGAATATAAAACACACACGTTATCATCTCACTTTTTTTTACTAAAGTGAAAATTCAAATTAAATTCAAAGAAAATATAAAAATGTAAGGCCAGAGTAGCTGGATTGAAAGATGACTGTCAGAATTGCTCCATTCTGACTATTTTCACTTTACATTCGAAATTGTCTTTGAACCCACCTTGAATTCTTACTTTAGTGAATAATCCTGTCAATTTTATAATTTGATACATTTACTCTAGTGCTTGCTTGCAAAATCCTTTTGGGATATTTATCAAAATATTTCAGAAAATTTGCAGTTAAATTACATAATTATTTTGGTTGTAATTGATCTAAAAAGTGACGGTTTACGTTATAGTAAATTTCACTTGTTTTCCCTCTAGATCCCCAATAATTGTAATAATTCTGTGGTTCAATAAGTAGCAAACAGATCTAAAATTAACCCCTTAAGGACTGAACCAATTGTACAAGTTGCGGGAAAAAAAACCTGTAAACAAAACCTGGAATTTGCGCTATATGTGCTTCAACCATAATTCACCTCTTTCATATTAAGTGCACCCACACTTATTATATATAATTTTGCTCAGAAGAAACAGGACTTGCATTTCATATTGAGAAATTAAGAAATGTTGTTATTTTTCAACGTCTGCATGACATTTTAACTGTGAATGTCATAATACTGAAAAAAAATACACATATTTGTATTCAGAAATGGCTCACTAGTAAAACTGTACCCCCCATGTACAGGTTTTATGGGTTTCTGGAAGCTTACAGGGGTCAAATGTAGGGCTTTCCCCTTTTTCATGTTTGCACATTGAAATTTGCCCGATTGGTTTGCTGGGCCTATATTACCTTTTTTAGTAGCCATTTAGTTACAAACCCTGGCCTTTGAGACGGTTTGGCAGCACAGAAAAAGTAGACAACCCAGGGTATTCAAAATGGGGTAGGCCCAGTATTTTGTAGTATCCACTAAGTCACAAAGGCTTGCCAAAGTTAGCGTTCTGATTTTTTTTTGTTGCATTTTTTTACACAAAAATTGCACTTTTACTGGTGATATCATCGTCGTGATACGTTTTACTGTTTTGAAACACTCCTATATGTGTTCAGTGAAGTATCCCGAGTATATGTTTTAGAAAGTTACATTGATGACTGCACATTGATCTATGTCCCTGAGGAAGTCTATGCAGAAGGAAGAAACGCGTAGGGCTAATATCAAATTTATAATTAAGTGTTCTTGCATAGGAAGACCACTTAATATTATCTCACATATATATTATTAAGTGTTCTTGCATAGCAAGACCACTTAATGTTATCTCACATATATATTATTCTTATTCTTATTATGGACAAATTTACCACCCTAACTCCTCCCACAGTTTTTACATTACATAGACAGAAATATACCGAAACGTGCGGATTGTTCCTGATTGGATTGCTATTACTTTGTGGAACGTTTCGCTGAATGGTTCACAGAATATCGTCGTTCTTGTGGCGAAATTGGTCCCATAGGAATGAATGGCAAAATGTTCAAAACTAGAATGGGAGCTGGCAAAAGCTGAAAAATCATGATATGATTTCTAAACTGCCACCACTCACTCATTTGCAAGCCCACCTACACAAATCTTATATCAAAATGTTCAGCTATCCCTGCTGCCACTAGAAATGTCCACGGCTAAGCCATAGTCCTGATAGTTTTCACAATATGACCATTTGTTTGCAACTCACGCCGTCCATTGACATTCATTGAAACTTCACTCTAGCCAGCTTAAACTTGAAGGGCAATTATTAAACTGCGACTGTGCCTTCATTTTTAATACTTCAGAGACATATTATGCATCAAAATGTAGATCTGGGTCTTGTGATTCTCACAATATAAATCTCTCGCTGTAGGATGTATAGTTTTTAAAATACGACCATTTGAAGATGGCAACCGCCAAAATACTCTGACCTGTGCCAGGCTGGAGCAGCAAGTGATGTCATAAACAGGGCCTTTTGTATACCTGCTAATGTTTTTATAAATGCATGTTTTAATGTAACTGTCAAGCACTTTGGGCAACAACGTTGCAATTAAATGTGCTATATAAATAAATAATAACAGTTACTCCGCCCACTCCAGTTGTAGACTACTGGTGGAGGCAAGAACACTTCACACAATTTCCCCAGAAATTGTAGCTTTTCTAGTTATTCTTATTCTAATTATAGCCAAATTTACCACCCTAACTCCTCCCACGGTTTTTACACTACATAGACCGTAATATACCGAAACGTGCGGATTGTTCCCGATCGGATTGCTATTACTTTGTGGAACGTTTTGCCGAATGGTTCACGGAATATCGTCATTCTTGTGGCGAAATTGGTCCCATAGGAATGAATGGCAAAGCTGGAGTGGGAGCTGGCAAAAGCTGAAAAATCAGTACATGAGTTCTAAACTGCCACCACTCCCTAATTTTCAAGCCCACCTACACAAATCTTATATCAAAACGTTCAGCTATCCCTGCTGCCACTAAAAATGTCCATGGCTAAGCCATAGTCCTGATAGTTTTCACAATATGATCATTTGTTTGCAACTCACGCTATCCATTGACATTTATTGAAACTCCACTCTAGATAGCTCAAACTTGAAGGGCAATTTCTAAACTGCGACTGTGCCTTCATTTTTAATATTTCAGAGACATACTATGCATCAAAATGTAGGTCTGGGTCTTGTGATTCTCACAATATAAAGCTCTTCACTGTAGGATATAAAGCTCTTTGCTGTTTTATGAAGACTTAGAGGAGTCTTTGATATATCTACATCGAAAAAGAAAAGGGTAATTGTTATTGAACATTTTAACCCCCCCCCCTTTTAGTGTGTTACTTCACATGTGTTACTGTTTGTTGGGCAAAATGTGTGATTCACATTTATAAATAAACCTGGTCACACCTTCTTTGCTTTCAATCAGACAACAGGTCCTGTTACTTCCTGGTTTGTTTAGCTCACTGGAGCTAAACTCAAGAGGCAGGTAATTGCCCAGAGCACCTGCGCTGCAAATACTTTTCATTGAGCTGCATTAGGAAGTCTGGGATTGGACGACCACATAAAGCCTCTTTTAGAAGGGGAGGGATTGTAGAGACAGCAGACAAGAAAATGGCAGCTTTTGCAAACTGGTTTATATATACCCCAAATTAAAAAAAATCATGCTTGTGTTTTTGCATGTTATCATTGAAGGCATATCAAATACACAGTGTTTTTTGTTATTTTTTTAATTTGGGCAGTGGAGTGTCTTTTTGACAAATTAATTATTGAATGCTGGAATGAAGCAATGTGACTTTTATGTCATCCAAAATTAAAATATCCTAATATCCGTGAACATTTCTGAGAAGCTCTGGGGAGCATGGTGTAACTTTTCCAATCAAAGACCTAGAGGATTTTCTCCTGCTGCAGGAATGGTGTAATATCCATTTTGTGCCATTTGTAATATTTCAAATAGTTTATCAAAGTACTGGCCAATGATGATGGAGAATGAAAAAAGCAATTAAGAGTGCAGAAACCAATGTTCAGGTAAGTATATAATTTAAACTGTAAATTATAATTTGCTGTTAATCTCATCAGCACAATCTATAGATTACATGTACATATACATGATGGTTATTAGCTCTGACTGTCCAACTGAGCAGATTTATAACCTCTGAGCTTCAGTCTTTACTGCAACTTCATCAGTGTATTTATTCTTTGATTGGCTCAAGATGATGATGTTAGGGCCCTCTGCGGAAGAAGTCCAAAAAGCTGCAGAACTTTTAACCAATGGGATCCCAGTATATCTGTTTTTCAGATAATGGATACACCAAATGGTTGTTCCTCTTCATCCAAGATCCTGCTCAAGACATTTTGGATGCTTTTTTGAACAAATTGGGTCTATGCAGTCACTTTTTAGATTGTGTAATGCAACCTATACACCATAGGTATTATTATTAAAGTACACATACAAGTTATTTACCTCTGAACTAGAAATCATATGTGAAGGGATGGTAATGAAGATGCACGTTAAAGCCGCGCCTGGAGGGGTCTGAATCTTATCACTATCAGCCATCATCCATCATCTTTGTTCCAGTAAAGACCATTGTTTGAAACCTCTGCAGCACCAATATTCAGCTGTTTTGGGACACCGAACATTTTCAAATAAGGTCTGGACTTTCTTATGGCTTAATCTGTGATTTTTAAAAGACCAATTATACATACATGTGGAAAGTTTTTTGTTTATATTTTCTATATTTTAAAATATTGTTAGAATAAAATTGAATTTTAACTATCAATCTTCAGTGTGGTAAATGAAAAGTACATGGTATATTGATACCCCTTGTTTTCTATCTTTTACATATATATGGATCCATGTGATGGAGTGGACCGCTTAACACATTTCTTTGGGACACCATTAATGGACTTTTATTCATTTTCTCCCATTATTGTATTGAATTTAGGTTTTTCTGTATTTTCTGTGATATATGCTACTTGCTATATATAATTATTTAGAAGAGAAGGGTTTTTAATAGTTATTTTGTGTATTATAACAAATTATTAATTAGGCAGGCAAAAATTTCAGGGTGCAATACATTAGCATGAACAAAAAAAAAAGACAAAAAATATCATATGAGAAATACTGGTATAAAGGATAAAGCCTGAAGTAGTCTCTTCGGTCTTTGAGGAAATTACTCATAGAGATTCTTTAATTAACTGAAGACATCCACTGTAACACCAGAGCTTGGATAGAAAGGCTTGACATTCGGAATATCCCACGTCTTGGAAATTGGTTGACCACATTGTGTCTACTGGTAACGAAAGGCCCAGAATCACAGCAAACTTATCCGCACCCATCATATTGAATACATATCATTGTCCCTCAGTAGTTGTGTGACAGGCCACAGTGACTGTCTCCAAATAATAGTAGAGCAAGAGAAATCATTTAAAAAGAGAGACCATAATTGGTGTCATAGTGGTAGGTGGGAGAGTCTTGTCTAGTGGCCTGTACTAACTGTTTAGAATGTACTGAAAGCCTAGGGAGTCCGAAGTTTGCACTTCAATGGGAAACTCTTGGTGATTTGTTGACCTGGAAAAATGAATTGATACATACACTCTTGGCTTTAGAGGGAGTTAATAGGAGAGACAATAGGAGACTTATAAAGTGGAGCACCTTAGTGTCAGACATTTCTTATGTAAACCCTTGAATTCTGAGGTTGCGTTGTCTGTTCTGATCCTTGATGGCAGCTACTTTTACTTTCATATTTGTAGAGGCATGCTTAATCCTTTCAACCTCTGCTTGCAGATTATCTTGTCTGTCCCATACAGGTTCCTGTGTCTAGCAGTCATTGCCGCCAACCGCCATATCCTCTTGGACCAAGGGCAGATCTGCCGCAAATAGAGGTTTCATTTTCGTCACACTGTTCTGTACTGTTCAAATGGTCTACTTTCCTATGTGGTGTTTGTTTCACTGTTGGAGTGGAGCATATGGGCTTATCCATCAGCTCTGTATCAGCTTCTATGTCTTCAAGAACACTCATCCAGGAAGTGTAGTGAGAAAGCTCTTGTGTGGGCACCATCTTATTAGGCAGTGACTGTGGAGTCCAGGGAAGCATTTCTTAAAGGAACACTAGAGATTCAGGAACACAAACGTATACCTGAACCTATATTGTTAAAACACTATCTAGCACCTCTGCTCCCCCTAAATATACTAAAATCTTACCTTTATTCCAGTCTACAGCTGGCTCCACTTCTGAACTGTCTGCTTGGGTGACATCATCAGAAGTGGTGATCTCAGCCAATTACAATGCTTTCCCATACTATTTTCATAGTTGTTTGATGTGTGAGCCAGGTCTATCATTAATGCATTGGTGAGTTTTAAATAACTTTTTGGTAACTGAACAATCAGTACTATAGAAAAATAAATATTTCTCCATGAAAAGTATTTTTTTTAAATAAACACAATGTTATGTTCCTGTTTGCTCAAGTATTGTTAAAAAAAAATAATGAGCTATAGCCCTGATCTCCATGGAGGGTATCTATTAATTATTATTATTTTATTATTTATATAGCGCCAGCAAATTCCATAGCGCGGATTTGGAACACTATACCATTAGGAATTTAAACATGTATTCCTAATGGTATAATTTCCTATCTAAGTGAGTGTTTTGAAATATGAGGTTTACTTACCGTTCATCCCTTGCCTCACTGGTCTCTACAATGCTGGTCAGCCTCCTTGACTGTAATCATTAAAATTGATGATCTCATTGAGAGGCTAGTGCTCATGCATGGCAGCTCTATGTGCAGCATTTGATCTAAAACCTAGTTTGACTCAGTTATAGCAGAGGAAGTGCTCTTCCTGACAGCCGCGTGTTAAACTTGCAATGAAAACATTGCTGTTTCTTGAGATGAAGTGGTATTGGTGTCTTTAGAGTCCCTTTAAACTTTAAGAGTGTATGCACGAAAATATACTAGCACAACCTTTAACCATATCATGAATTTGTTGTGAGGTTGTACTGTGCCTTTAATAGATTGGCTGTTACAATGCATGGTTCTAGGCTGTGACACATGAAATATCCAAAGTGACATTTAACGCATTACATAGTGGCGCCAACATACTACATCTAGTTTAACTAAAAACAGATGCATTTGTATTTATCATACTGCAACTACTTTGTTAAAGATCAGTTTCCCTCATTTTATTTATTTCTTATTACTCAGTTTCTAAATGTGAACTTATGTATGCTTTCCTTTAAACTGGGAGTTTGTGTGTGAAACTTTGGATTTCAGGTTGTTCCAAA